AATAATAACTAAGTAAATAAATATAGGTAAACAAATAAAAAACGGTTATTGAAGGTAAATAGTAACATATACATAAACAATGCTCCAAATATGGGAGAACATCCAGTATCCAATAAAGTAGGTTAGGCAACAACCATACTGTCTAAAACTATACACTAGACAGGTTATGTTTTAAGTTATGAAAACCTTTAAGAACTCGTGTTGCTAACTTGCTATTGTTTTCAACCAATTACATTTCATGGAAAACAGCTTTTCAATGAAAAAAAGCTTCTAATCACAAACCTTAGAAAACTGAACTTTTGTACATGTTCATGAAACTCTATTGATTAATGTTCGTGTTTGAACAAACGATTGAAAATGTGAAAAGCATTAATGAGGATAAAATTGCAAGCATATAAAGAAATGTTTCTGAAATAGTAAGGTAATACTTTGAAATGACAGTCGACCGGAAATTCAGCAGAAGACATACTCACTGATCGAAAGTGGAGAGTGGTCGCTTACAGTGTCCCGTTGACAAAAAACAATTCTTATCATCGAAAGCGATGATAAGGATGACGTAGAAGCTCAATCTCAAACAGGCAGTGTAACTGGCATGATACTTAGGAGATATCGTTTTCACCGAGGATCTCAAATGATAAAAGAGGGCTCGACACGGTCCACGAGTGGAACCGTCGTTGGCTACGTCACAAGTTACGCGCCAATCGCAATAGCCTTCAAGAGAGAAAGAGCGCAAGAGAGAGAAAGATATTTAAAGGGATGGTGCCCTCTGTCGCTCCGTTTAAACGTTTTAAATGACATAAATTAAAGTACGTTATTGGAAATGTATTTGTCACAATTGAGACGTTTACATGAAGCTTAATTCGAACGCAACCTGAATGCTTAATTGATAATGTTTTAAAAAATTTATATTGTGTATCATTAAGGTAAACACAAATGTAAGAGATTTTAAATAAAGATTAGATTAAAGTCATTCAAAATCCTGTCTCTGAAAATATTGAAATTATGAAATATATATGAACATCGCATTTTATTTACAATGTAAAAACAACTGTTTCTTATTTGGACATTTTTGTAATAAACTATAAAATTGGAATTTTAAAGAATGTATACCAAGTTAAAATCGTATAGTACTAAAATATCTTGAAATAAATGACAGTTAATGTCAGGAAGTTCTATAAATAATGAATAATAATTTTTTATATTTAATTATCTTCAAATTTT